CCGGCCACAGGCCTCGGAGGGATTTCCCTCGCAAAACAGTTGTTAAACTCCGCCCAGAGGAAGCGAACTGGCACCCACGGTGCCAACTTCAACCGGATGTTTTTAAGAGGGAGGGGGTGGTGCGTACGAGCGCAACCGATTTGTATCGTCAACGTATGGCCGAGCGGTGAAATAAAACATCCAGACCTTCCCAAAGGTGAGTGTAGCGCAGAATGTTTATTTTTATCCCCAATTACCAAGTTTCCCGTAGGTATTACCGGCCAGCACATTCAGAAACGTGGTACCACATGGCTCCATCGCACCTTCCAACACCAACAAGCTCATTTAAAAAGAAAGTTCTTAAAGACGTCTTGTACTTACAGAGCTTTGCATTACAGCGGCAAAAGGGAAATGGTCACACCTGAAGAACGCCAACAGCCAATTTAAGCCAGTTATCTCTAATTCACAACATCACGTTGTTAAACCTGCCCGTTTCCCCATCACACGCTCTCAGGTTTACTGACTGGCAGATGATGTCTCAACCCTTCTCTGGCCCATCCGACTGGCGGAACACCAGACTACTCTGGCTTTTCTTTTTAACACACGGGCTTGGTTCAGCTCCCCGAATAATAAACGCTGCAGAGCCACTGGGAAAGTAAGCATCTGCCTCCCGTGAATATTTTTTGTAAGTATTAACCTGGAAATCCATGTCATAAATATTAACCAGCAGCTGAACAAGCTCGAGTAAGGAGCGTGCTAAGGTAAGGATTGACTTTCTGAAAACACACAGGACAAAAACACACAGGACAAAAAAAACCCCACCCCACAGTGTGTTTAAATCAGTGTAACCCGACAGTGCAAATTGTAAAGCTGCAGAAAGATCTAGCTGAGCAAAGAACGTCTCTGATTTCACTGACCTGTCAGGGGTGAAGGGAATAATGAAACACTGTAACCCAACTGCACCCTCTTGCCCTTTTTTCCTCTTAACTCCGCAACAAGATGTCATAAGGGAAACAATGTAGTTAAAATTTTGAAGCTAGGAAAGCTGCAAAAATCTGTCTTTCCCAATATGGATATTTAAATATTCCTTATATTTCAGAGTGCTACTCTGACTACAACCAGGTATCCTTAAAAAATATAATTAAAGCACTTCAAGCATCCCTGATGACCAGTCGGTGAAACAAATCCTCTAGAGAATGACCCGCATCCCCAAGGATAGAACAAGAATTTTTACGGAAAGCTCTGTAAGGCTTCCACAGTTACAAAAAGCATACGAGCAGTTATCCTTCTCTCTGCTCCTTGCACGAGACTCTTCTGAGGGAGACTGGAATGGCTTGAGAACTAAAGTCATCTCCACAGAAAACAGCTTTGGATTAAAGATGCACTTAAGCCCTCTTTGCACATAATAAATACTGGATGAATCCATAAGAGACACAGACAAAAAATGTGACCCTGGAAGAAATACACTTCTCACCAAGAACCTTATTCCTTTGCGACAGGTGGGAGCCCAGAAAGCGCCCGTTCACGATGTAGTTCTGTTATTTTCAGTCAGCCAGGCGTGTCAGCAGGCGACATAGAGGCGCTAGTGCCACCATCTCCTCCTTATCACACACTTCAAGGTCATTTTGTAAAGGATTCCATTACCACCAAGATGTCACCTAATCCTGGAGTCTGACACAAACCTTGAGAGGTTTTATACTGTTACTCTAGTGTTTAACGTGTGATGCAACGAGCTTGCTGAAACATGCTAACGGATACAGGCTAATCCCCTCACCGTGGGCAATTCCGAACAGAACTACTGTTTTCTCCGTGCACAGCAAGAAGCACTATTCTTCACTTGTTCACTGAAAATGAAAGGAAAAAAGCAACACGCTAAACTGCGCTCTTCTCAAGAAGGTTATGCATTACTTCTAAGCTTTTTGGAACCCCAAACTCTCCCTTTTAACCTCGAAGGCTTCAACCTGCTTCAGCACTAAATCCTTATGCATCCCACTCCACTTTCCGACACGGCTTTGCCACACTACGCCGAACACCAACAGCGTTCAAGCAACCTAGAGCCTGCTCGCACCGGTATTTAACGACACTTTCACCAGAACGCCATCGCCACTTGTGAACGCTTATCCTGCTGCAGAAACCAGTTCACAAAAAGTCACTAAAAGACACGGAGAGGCCACCGGCCCAAGCACATGTTTGCCAGTTGCACACAGTAGTAACAAAAGGTAGCTAACGTATATATATATATAAATACAGTAATGAGACCTCCAAATCAAAGGTAAATTAGCGATTAATGAAATGACCTTTTCCTGACAGGGCTCCAAGTATATTCTGGCAACGTGAGTTTTACTTTTGGAAGGAATTGCCATTGAATTCCCTACATCACTGTATCTTATCACAGAGCAATTTAGATTTTGAAATGGCTTTATTAAAGTAAAATATTTCAACTTTTGATCGTTTTTAAACATTAAAATATATTATTTTATAGATTTTAAGAAGTTGGACAAAAAGTTACCTTTTTGTGTTCGGAATAAATCCGCCTCATCACTAAATGGCAAGATGTAAAAGGTCAGAGGGCAAGATCTCTTCAGAGATCTCTGTTTCTCAAGCTGCCTGTCTTTAGGGACAGAAGAACTCTTGTGCTGTATATTCACTTGCAAAAAACTTATGCCAGAGAAATAAACCGTTTGATAAGCACATACGCGTTTTCCGAAAGAAATCGTGCTAATGCAGATGAAGCTGTAGGATCGCTCAGCCACCTGGAAACACAACAAATAATCTCACCACATGATTAAAAATAATATGACTTGTACAGAGGACTGGCTGCTCTGCACTGTGCTACACACACAGGAAGCAACAGGACATACAGAGCCACAGTCCCCCCACTAAGAATGATTTTACCTAGAGGAATCCTTTTTTTTTAACTGGGAAAAATACAAAATGAGATGATCAGAATGCTTATTATCTAGCTTAGGACCCACCCAGACTCAGTAGAAACCAGCCAGGTTTACAGGCTGGCATGCTCCTACACTCCACAGAAGCGCACGGGCTGTAAGCGCTCATTTTACTGACTGGAACTTTACATTAATCTGTGTCAACAGCAAAATCGAAGCGGGAGATAAGACAGCGCCCAAAGACACTGCTGACATTTGTCTTCTTGCTTTCAGGGCAAGATCCAAACCTGATGAAACTATGCCAGGCAACTTACAATTAGCATCACCTGCTGAAAGATAACATTCTGTGTATCAATCTCTTTGAAACTGCGATACAGCAGCTACTATAACCTAGTAGTTATAGGTAGTGTACAGAAGTACCCAGATCTTGAGATGAAAATCTGAATTGTGGACTTAAGCTCCACGGAGATTTGCCCTCATCTGAGAGGAATACGCTCTCAGAGTCTATGCACGTATCATCAGAGGCAGCAAGTTAAGTGGTACTAAGTCACAACCACAGAGCTCTCTCGACAGGTACTTATCCGTGGCAGGGAGCAAACCAGTTGAATGCAACCTTATTCTTTTTTAAAATCAAGGGAACTGTATAACACTAACTCTTAATATAATTGAGATAGTTCTGGCATTGAGACAAAATTATGAACACAATAAAAGCGAGAAGTGAAGGTTTAATGTATCTGCTGCAGTGTTATGTTGCTCAATTCCTGAATGGATTTATTCGCATGCACCTGCCCTTACAGGGACACAGAAACCATCAACCGATGTTACAGCCTTTCTGCAACACATCAATGCATTATTGTTGCCCTGATAAACCTATAAACACCAGTGACCTGTCCAAGAACACCTCTCCCGGACACAAGTTTACTACCCTTGTGGGGAGGAGAAAAAACCCCCAAACCTTAGAATCACTTTAAGTGGAATTAGTGCTGGTGTCATGTGCTTTGGAAATGAATGTCTCATCTACAAGGATGAACACAGGCAACCTGCCCGTATCTGTGCGAACAACTGGTGTTATGGCTAGAACCTGCGTAACTCCCAAGCCCCACGGAATGTGACCACAGTTCTTACTGGTGACAACCAGTATTCCTCCAGGAAGAACCACCAGAAGCTCGTTTGCTAGTGGGAGCTGAGACAGCCTCGAGTTACTGAAGTGGAGTCGAAATTTGCAACTGAAATTGAGACAGGTCTGATATCTCACTAGTCCTTCAAAGAGTTGGGCTTCTCTTGTGGCTGAGGCCCAAACCCTTTGGCCAACAGCCTGGAGTTCACAGAACTGCAGTTGGGCATTCTGAAAAATGGACTAAGACACCAACGCTTAAGCTCACTCGAGTGAGGTAACTCAGTACCGCTCGTGTTGGGTACGTGAACAAAAATAAGGAACCGTGAAAGACTACATTACTTGACTGTTAATATTCAAACAAATTAAGGTTTCTGTGACAACAAAGAAATGCATTGACCATTTACAGCAAAACAGATTTATACAATAACAAGTAACTTAGGGCCTTGCGTACCTGCAAATGAATTCCTTCCGCAGGTACACACAATATATTGCTCAGTCATAAAAATATATATTATCTCTTTCCTTTAACATTTAAGTATATAAATATTTTTACTGAAGAACATGCATCATTTAGATAAACAATTGCAAGAATATCCTCTGAAAATAGGGTTCTTGGACATTTAGCAATAGAAGATTACATGATCATAGCTATGAAAGTCAAGACAAACCGATACAGCAGTCATCAGTCCATCGTGTGCTAGTCCAGAGAACTGAAGCACCTTTTGCAACAGGTTATATAAGATATATACACACAGAAAAGGCATTGGAACTGGAGCAAAACCAGCACTGTTCCATCTGCACATTCTTCAGTCTTGCTTGGACTCCAAACTTACTGTTCACTTCTCTGTTCTTGTTTTCCGTTCAGCTCTTGGTCCACTCTGCTTAGCAAAGAAAGCAGTAAAATTAAAGCTCTGTTAAGAAGTGGTTTAGTTTGAAAGCTCACACATTAAGCAAAAACTACTAATCTTATCAGGAAAACACAAAGCATTTGCATGGAAAAAAGCTCTAGTGAATAAATACTAAATTTTTCACTGAATGCAGTCACAACACTGCTTTCTTTTTAAAAAAATAAAAATTTATTTTCCTACCTCCCCCTAGAAATTAATTAAAATCATTACAACACCATTTAAATAATTAATAGTACTCAAAAGGATTTCAAAGCACAAGTGGATTTTGACTACAAAAGGAAAAAAGAGCAGGTTCTCTGCTTTTATTAAAGAATGCAAGCAGGAACACAAGTTTACAGGTATCATGACAAAACCATCAAGCATTAATACTTTGATGGATTTATACACTGCAGAATAAGCACAGAATTACCTTTCATGTTACAGTCATTAAGTAAACTAAGTAATTAAGAAGGTAATAGCACTAGTTGAATCAACAAAAAATAAGTGGCTCCTTAACTGCAATATTTTTTCTTTAAAGTTCAAAAACTTGTAATTACTCAGGGGGGAAGAAATAAATAATGAATTCATCATCGTGCTGCTAAAACTGGTTTCGTTTGTGCTTTTTCTTTCCTCTCTTTATTTTGTGTTGAGTTGCTTGCTCGTTTTTTTGGTTGAGGTTTTGTTGTTTTTGTTGCTGTCACCTGCCTTGGGACTGGCAAGCAAAACGTTACTTGGCAGAACCCAGCGGATGGTTAACATCTTGCATGAGATGTATTCTTCCTCTTTACAGGAAGAACAAGGTACAGTCTTCACTATATATTCTGGAAAATAGGTCGTGCACGGAGGTAAATGAATTTCAAAGCCAACAGCAGTTCCAAAAGTGAGAGAGGCTACGGCCAAGTCTGTTTTCTAAGAGCCTGTCTAACCCACCTGCCCACCCTCTGAAATTATACCCAGCCGGCTTTTCACAACAATAAGAATGACGACAGCTCTTCCAGGCCATGAGCCCATAAAAATGGGAGCCAAAGCTGGGGTTTTTTGCACTGTAAGAACTGAATCTATTAAATAGGGATGCAACAGGTCTGGAGCAGCATTGTCTGTTCACACGAGTCTCACCTGCGCACTATGCAGCTGCAACTCATCCCCGCCCTCGCTGCGGTACCGTACAAAGAGCAGGTTTTGACATGACAAATGTAAGGGAACAGGGTAAGCCAACACACACAAGCTGTGTGTTAACACATGGCTGACAGCGTAAATCCACAGAAGCAGATAATATTCTAGCTTCCAAAAGGACTCACGCACATTTTCTGCTGCCATCCTCAAATTTTGCAGCCGAACTTCAACCCATCTCCCTTACTCCTATTTCAGCAGATAGGGCCTACAACTGCCTTCGACCTCCCTAACTTCTCAGTATCAAACAGTGCCTCCATCTCCTCTCCATCTCACCTAGGAACAAGTCCTTTTGACAACAGTGCTGGCAGAAGTGATGATGTCGACAGAGACACTAAGAAGTGCTTGTACTGAAGATTTTTCGAAGGTTTTACATTAGTATTTGAATGTCTCAGGATTGAGTCCTGAATACAGTGGGCTTTGCAACAGAATTGGGCCAAATAATGCATGCTGAGGGGAGAAAAAACCAAAATCAAGCAGAACTTGTTGAACGTTGTTCAATATGCCCCGAAAGCACTTCTTAAATTTGACCAGCTCAGTATTTCATGTTACACACTGAATTTGTCACTTAATGGGCATAATTCCTAGAGAACGTTCAACACTTGTCACTAGCCTTACCTGCTAGCTTTCAGAAAGAACTTAAAACTGCTTTTATAATCTCTGCATTCCTCTCTATGTCCATTACCCACTTTAGACAATAAGCCTCAATAGTTATGCACGCACAGGGAGAGTAATTAAAAAAAAGCAAAGTTAATAGCAAAACCTTTTGGTGTGTTTGTTAGTGAGAGTGAAAAAAAACCAACAAAAAAAAAATCACCAGCTGCTGGAACAGCTTGAATGGTTAGCAGGAGACTGAAAATGAACAAAATTAAAATCCAACGTTTATTAGCAAGGACCATAGGCACTGCAAATACAAACAGCACTAAAAATACTAATTCAGACTGCATCTGTGCAAGTTAATAACCAAAAAGTGAATATCAAAAATACAAGATTCAGTGTTAGAACTTCTTCCAGAGTTGCACCTGTGTTGATGCATAGCTACAGCTTAGCACCTACAACCAGCTCTTCCTCCACACATTGCTTCTCGTTAGGAACAGTGGAACTAGATTTAACCAATTCATACAGAAGCACTACTTTTGCCTCTCGAGGATTCAGGTGAGAATCCAGGTATCCCCTTAAAAGTGAGCATCTCGTGGGACAGAGCAAGAGAGACTATTCACAAACACCTGCACAACCAGGGTGAGCTCTTTCAGTCGACACGCTGTGCTTTCGGGCAGTTTAGTTTCTTTCATGTATAAAAACTTGGTCACTAGTGCATGTTTATATTTACAAATGCTTACTCCTTTATGCAAGCCAATTGACTGGGAGTTAGTTGCAGTGCAAATCGTCTTATCTAGATGCAACCCTAATCAAAATGTGAATATACCTTTTCTGTTTCTTTCTAAACTTTTCTTCTTCATACCTTGGTGAGGAAAAGTTTGATTTCAGTAAATATAACATAGGAAGGCCAAATTCAACAAAACCTGCAAACTGGCATTAGTGTCAGTACAGTTTGTAGAAACATATTAAGCTTTGAAACGGATATAATTAAGAAAAAAACGTATCATACCTCCAACATTTATAAACATTAAACAAGAAGCTTTAAGATTTAGGTACATGAATTCAGTACAATTTCTTGTACAGTATTAACATCCATCAGTAATATTTAAAGTCTGTATCTGTAACAGTTTGAAAGCAGATATAATCCTCCACAGAACTTTGAGAATTAACTCCATAAATCAACCACGTTTAGCCTCTGCAGAACAGTTCAAGGTTTATCATTATAAAAAGGAGTCTCTGAAGACTTGAAACGAGTCTCAATATTCCTAACATGTCCTTCAAAATGCCCAGAAAAAAAATAAATTAAAAAATGCAAAAAGATACCCTAAGGCTGCTTAAGCACTGTCATATCTTTCCTCTCCACCCCCAAAAAACCCCCATTTTCTCTGTTTTTGTGATCACTCATGGTGACGCACACTGTACAGGTTTTGTATGTTACATCCTCTAACAGGCTGATCAATTTATCATCAACTGCTGGTATTTTCCTTTGGCTCTTTTGAGACTCAAAATTACATTTTCTGCTCTATTACTGCACCCATAAATGCTACTGACAAAAGGATCATCATCGTCATACTCCAGAGCGGAATTGTGCTGACAATAAAACTAATATTTATACCTGGAGTGAAAAAAGAGAAAACTTGCCTTCACCTCTTCAAAGTAGCTTTTGAACTGTTATTGGGGAGGGATTCAGCATTTTTCTACTCCTGTTCTTTAATGAAACCCCAACCGAAGTGATATTTCGCCACATTTTAGCACAAACACCAAAGATACTGTAAATAACTCGGCGATTATGTGTGAAAACCTCTACACATTAACATTTTGACCACCTGTGGTACCGCACACCAACCTGCAGTTAGCAGTGTGGTCAAACACGGAGCCGCCTAGACACAAGCAATGATCCCAGTTAAATTTTAGCAAATGCCAAATATTACATTCAAACCAGTCACCGGATACAATATCTATTGGTTCTAAAACATGATCAGCGTAGAACACGTTTGAATAACAAAACGTACTGTTTTATGCATTCTGGGATGCCAACGTATTCCATGGGGATGAGTTCAGCTAGTTCTGCCAGGGTAAAGACATACCTAATTTTTTGGCTGAATTTTGAGCTGTGGAAGAACAAACGCAGGGTACAGTTACAACGTGCAAAAATTTTAATAGGTCAATATTAAAACAGGTTTTGAAGTTTAAAAGTAAACAGTTGCCAGGTTGTTGTTTTTTTTTTTTTTTTTTAAAGAAACAGCTTCCAGAGTATTACCTAATAAAAGGTTTTGTGATGGCCAGAAGTGTTCTGATGAACCAAGAAGGATGAACGATGATGAGTGATTTCAGATTCTTCCTTAGCCTGAAGGATTCAAACATAGTTATTAGAACAAAAAGGCAGCACGACAATGCTGTTCTTTTAATAAGCATGTTTTTGCGAGCACAATCGTCATGTAAATCTAGTAGTGACATTCCATTATGAGTAATTACTGTCTGCCAGAAGAAAAAAATACCACAGTACTGTATGGCTGAAATTTAAGATAAAGTATCACTTTCACACAACTAATGCTGAAGTGTTTCACAAAGGACCTCCCTTATTATCACAGCATATTAATACAGGAAATTTTAAGGATATTCTAAATGGTAACAGTATTCAGCATTTTAACACTACAATTTTCAATTAAAGAAAAAACCTCAAAACAATAACAACACAACAACCCCCCCAGCATGCCTCTGGCATTATTTTCACAACATAAAGCAATTTGCCTAATTAATCTTAACCAGTAGGTCCCAGACACCACACCAAACAGCAGTCTCCTCCAAATACGTGTATCATCGAGCACGGGAATATTGTAAGAGAGCACTGCAGAGCTTCTTACCTTCTATCAATTTGCTGGTAACATTTCCTAAGCCAGCCTAAACTTGGCATTTTCCTCCGTGTCGTTGCACCATTCAGGTAAACTATCATATAGTTCTCTGCTACTAACAGCTCTAAAGTGCCAATAACATACCTGCAGAGACAAAGAAAAAACAACATTCAAGTGAAGATCCGTGGATATTCAAGTAATTCCTTGTAGTACTTAAATAAGTTGTGTTTTTTTTTTTTAAACACAGCTGGCAACAGTGTTGAGCAACATTTAAATCTTTTTTTCCTTCCTCTAGAAGCAGATGTAGCTGCTTTTCTATTTGTTCCCTCATCTGAAATATAAAAAGCTTCACTAAAAAGAGAAGTGACTGCCTGTACATTAAAATGTGAAGTTTCACAATGTGAAATGAAGAGGCAGACGATGACTTACTTAAATAGATTGTCCATTAGGTATCTGTAGTTAGGCTGGCTGCTTTCAGGCATAAAGCAAACCGCAAACACAACAATGGCATTTAATCCATCACCATAATAACCTGAAAACAAAGAAAAGAAGAAAAGAAAAACAGCAGTAGTGACAAAGGGAACTACACATTGACTACATTTACACAAAGTGAGGTGCATTCACCGAGGCTTTCCATTATTTTTCATTATTTTTCATCTCTATAGACATTCACAGTTACAGAAAGCCTCCAGATTGCTTTTTCAAGTTTGCCTGCTTCAAAAGAAATAGCTGAAGTTTATGTAAATCCAATGGCATACCTACAATCAATACCTCAGTACAGGATCTGAGCGTACTTAATAACATTTTATATAGTCAAATTTTCCTCCAACCTGAACTCCAGAGACTGTTGGGAAGAGTCATTAAATTTATTTATGCCTTCATAGATCTACCTTTACTGCTTTCAGCACTCTTAAAACCAAAAAATTCTACTAGTAGCACTGACACCGTAGAACAAACAAGCACATTGTGACATGTGTACATGTTAGCAGCTTCATCTGAACACGTGTATATTTTGGAACCTTAGGGAAAAGTATTAAATCAACTACACGCCTTAACACTGTATGAATTATCACATGAGTCTTCAAGCTCTTCCTGTGCCAGCTCATCTTAAAGAAGTAATTTCTCAGAGTCCCCCTCAGCGCATCACCAATCCTTACCACCGTGACTGATAACTTTTTTATATGGTTCAATTGCCTTCATGTCCACCCTGTGGTCCTGCTCTCCAATCCTAAACATCCGCCAGCGTCGACCATCGTCTTTCTCCTCTTCCGCAGTGTATTCAGTGAGCGATCCTTTCCTAACTACATCAGTAGTTTTGGGTTTGGGAAGATCATCTGCCAAAGTTCAAACACGTTCAAGACCCATTATGAATACTACGTACAGTGACAATCAATTACAACCCCGGTTAACCACTTTGCTATCTAAACTATTTTAATATTCTTGAGCCAGCCAGACATATCGGATTAAGTTCCTTCAGCCACTGCAAAATAGGGATTTCATGGGTGTCAAAGATATTTTATCAAAATGCTCTATGCTGGCAGTTACCTGTTGACTGTACTTCTCTGTGTTAAAGCATAGGAAGACTTTTTACTTCTAGGCTTTCAGAACACAGACCTTGCTGAATCTTACTGGAATAGCCAAAGTGGTTAACTCCAATGATGATTCCACAGGCTGTTTGATCACAGATTTACATAAAAAAGCACGATTTAAAACATTGACAGTACCTTGCAAGCAGGCATGCAGGCAAATCTATTGGAAATTAAATCTAATTCAGCAGGTGTGCAATCAATATATATGAAATTTATGCTGACAACAATCTGTAAAACAATTTGCTCCAATTAAATTATGATTCTTGACTTTGTTGCATAGACCTTACCCAAAGCGAGAAAAACCTACGGCAAGTTAGTTGTCTGTTCCCAAGACAAAGCTGTTAATTGAAACTATCCTTCCAGGAAAATGAAGGCAGCAGCATTAAAGGAAGAAAAGACAGAAACCCTTTTCAGCCATTTTTCAAGACACAGCACAAACACCCGGAACATTCCCTTCGCGTCATTGCAAAACTAACCCTAAAAACCAATTCTTCACTACAATGATATAAGTTTTGTACACAGAAAAACCTCCTACGATTCTATAAGTCTCTGTTACGAAAACTTCACCTGCAAAGTGCCTTCATCTATTTAAAAAAAATCCCATCTTATTTTAAAGAGTGTTTCTTTCTCCATTTATAAGCTATCTTGGAATGAAGAACATAGTGTTTCATACGTAACAGCGAAAAGAAAGCCTCCTGTTTAGTCAGGAATTAACATTATTTTACTTCCAGAATTAAAAAAAAAAACAACCAAAAAACAACCCACAGTTGAGCTTACATGTTTACTTATTAGAGACATTAAGTCATGAAGTTGATAAAAGTTCAAGACTCCAACTGTTTGATGAACACAGTATTTCTTGGCTTAAATGAAGAGGCCTTAAAATACAAGTGCAGGTGTAAAATTTGTGCTTTAACTCCTACATTGAACTTTTTTACCTCCAAATGTTAAGAATCTCCAGGTTTTGTTTATGACAGTAAGATGAAATACATTTCCATTTTAAAAAGATTAATGTCGTTACTAGTGTCTCTACAGACAAGTTGACTACCAATTAATTTCCCAATTCCCTGATACAAAATAAAGACTCTGCTACCACTTCCAGGCAATCTGAAAAGCACCCAAACTCTAAGGCTACTGACCTTTTGCCATTCTCACCACACTGAGACGTTAGGTCAAGTTTTATTTATTTTTAAAGATACCATTCAGCTGTCCTCAAATACAAAGGCCTGCAATTCATCATTTTGTGACTGGCTAATCTATAACACTTGTAAAAGACAGCAGATTTTTTTTTTCAGCAGGTTGGTTCTTAAAAGCATACTGCAGCAGGAGAATCTTCCACAACTTCAAGTGTTACAGATGTTTAATGACATTCACCTAAGCTTATTTGTAGTTACAGCTATTATGTTGCTTGTTTACTCGGCAGCTGATGTCTGATCTGCTTTAAAAATCCAGTGCATCCATTTCCAATTTCTAATCTAAGCACTCCCTTTGTATTTTTCCTCTGGTAATACTGAGTCATAGTTATTCGACCTACACATAAGAAAGCAGAAACATTTTAGGGCATCAGACAAGTAACAGAATACCCACCTTCCCATTCAAACTCGTTGCTGTTTTCTGAAGGAGTATCTAAATCGTCCAAATCAATCTCTCCACTCTCATCCAAGTCATCAGACAAAACAGATTCTTCACTGCGATCCAGAGTTAAGCTAATATCTGGAGCCACTAGTTTCTTCCTCACTTTGGTTCCATTAACCTCTGTATTAAAAAAAAGATTTCTTTTCAAAGCTAAAGCAAGTTGAGACAAGCATATTAACAAAACAGAAGAGCACAGCGCTTTCTCAGAACGCATTGCAAGTTAACGTCCGTAATGTAAACAATGTATTTTGGAAATAAGTATTAAACACAGGGTGAGAAGAACAGCACCTGAAGGTCAAAGTGCCCAAATCCTCAAGATCCTAAGTTCACTTGGCTGCACACACCCTATGATCACAGAAGTAGATGATCATAGTTCCTATAGAAGAAAAACCTTCGGAGTTGCCACCACCCAAGCAAATATTACCCATACCAGCTATATCTAACTGTACCACAAGTTATTCTAGATATTATACTAAGTAAATCTTGCAAATAACGCAATAGATTCATAGCCCTAGGCCTTGTTTTTGTTAGGTATTGGTAACATCACAACCATCTTTGAAATAAGAAAATATACAAGCTGCAAAAAAACCCAAACAACCCCCAAAAAACCAAACAAAAATAACCCAACCCACTAACACACAAAAAAACCCCCCAAACCAAAACAAAAAGGCTGACAGACAGGAGTGAGGACAGGAAATTAACTGTGTGACTACACAGCGTGCTTTGAGATACAAGGCAAATACCTGAATGATTTAGACAGGGAATAAAATAAAATGGCTCATCCAGCACTTCAAATGCCACAGAGCAGACAAGATTAAAATAAGTGTAAAAAGTAAAAAATAAAATAAATAAATCAGTTTGTGTTATTTCTCCTCTGACCATTTGGACAGGTAATGTTCTTAAAAGGCCACAAAGGTCTGAAACCTATGGCAGGCCCTAATTGCTGCACAGAAGCCAAATAAAGAACAAAGATTTTGAGACAGGTCAAGAAGCGAGTACACTAATTCGTTTTTGTCCAGTACTTCCTGGATAGCTCTGTTTGCAGGAAGGATGAAGAGCCTTGCTTTATTACAAAAGCTTTTTCTTCCTAGACAAATGTTGATAATAGCCTTCACACATCCAAAGTCATTTAGAATGATGTTTCCTCAAACCTGATTCCAAAAAAAAAATCCAAAAACCAAAAACTAAGACAGAAAGCACCAAAAAACCCGCTTAAACTGAAACGGAGCTTTAAAGAGCCATCCAACAAGTAAGCGGTCAGCTTGACTGGAGGGGAATGTTCTTACCAGCTTCATTTTCTGTTCCAGCTGCAGCCAATATATCTGACTCAACAGGGTCATCCTCTGGCAGCGGTCTGGTGCACAAAGCAGAAAAATATTGTTACAAAAACGCCTTTTTTTTCCAATAGCTAGCTAAATGCCAAATATTTAGACTTATGTACTACTAAAAAAACCTCTTTGTGGCACAGTTCTGAACTAAATTTACTTACAGCCTAAGTTCAAGTTCTCCATAAACAAAGCACCAAAGTAGCAGAAAATTCCTTTAGAGCAGTCAGGTAATCAGTTGCTGATGTGACAAATGCCAAAATACTGGCTGCTAAGGTCTGTCATCCTTAAGGAAACTTGTCACGTTCTTGAGGAAATTTGACATGAAATACACTACAGACATAGTTTAATCACATTATTACAGAATGCCTCTGATGTCAGCTGTTTCAGTTTCTTCGGAGGCACAAGCATCACTCGCATTCTTAACTGTCAAATTTTGCTCTGAAATATTCCTTCATGAAATCTTTAGGCCATCAGACATGGGTACTACTATGCAGCATATTCACAAAAGATTACCACTTCAAGATTATGACTGAGTTCACCAGGAAGAGAGTGTTGGCTTATTCTGGATGTTATGCAGCTGATTTTAATGACTTTTTAAAAAGAAATAAATTAAAAACCTCGGAAAATCTTCATCTTGCCATTCTTCCTTAAACTCAACACCTTCCATTCTCCAGCCAACTGGAATTGCTAATAGAGACTCCTAATCAGCCAGAACCTCTTGTCTTCGTGGACTGAAGAGGAGCTGCAGGAACAGAACAGAAGTTGCTAGTTCAAGACTACTGTAATTCTCATACTTGCAACACAGCCTTTACACTTATCACCAAGTTGAGGCGTTACAAAGGAAAAAAAAACCACAAAAGAAAATTCACAACTCCCCCAAACAAAATGAAAGCCAAAAAACCAGGAAAACTTATGATTTGTTCCCATTTTATTTTTTTCCACATAAAACTGCTTATCGAATGATTTATAATAATTTAGTCCAATGCCCTGCTCGATCAATCCCTCAGTTAAAAATCAAGGCCCTGAGCAATCCGATCTATCACGATTTAGGATTAAATCAGTTCACTCCAAACTGTAAGAAACCTAAAAGCCCTCTAGATTATATAGAGATATTAAGTGTGTATTTTGAGAAAACAACTCCAGACACTCAGATGTAAACCACAACCCAGTTCTTTAAAAAAACCCCACCCAGTCACACAGCCCCAAAACCAAACAGCAAGCCACACATTTTAAAGAGAACTGTTCCCAAAAGCGTTTTCAGAGACCTTACCCTGTGATGTGCAACTCAAGGTGTGTTTCTTCAGCCTCACCCATCACCAGCAACGAGGAATCCCCATTAATGGCACATAATGAACCATTCTGCTGACACACGGGCCCAAGCCAGTTGAAGCTCTCGGCTGCGCTGGCTCTAAAGTTTGGCAGGAACAGGTAGATTTATCAATGAAGATATTAAGAAAAATCAACACAGGAAATTAATGACATTTTGACATGCAAAAAGGCAAACAACACAGAACACCAGTAAGCACAAAGGTTGAATGCAATCATACTGCTCATTCAGCCAGAGACACAATTTATTTCTTACACAGCTAAACTGAAACAAGTCACACTGTCCTCAATTTCTCTTCTCCTGACCTGATTACAACTACAGACCGATTTTAAAACATCCTGCAATGCTTGAAGCTACACCACACAAGCTGATTAATAAAAAAAAAAGTCTGGTTTACTTTCCATAAAACTGCAGTACCAGAGACTAATTAGACACTAATGACCAAAATTTAAGCTTATTTTGCTGACATTTCCCTGTTTCCCTCACCCAGAAGATTGAAATAAAATTTCTAAAAGCTAGCAACTTATTTCCCCTTCAGGGTCAGATTTTCCTTGTTTGAATCGTGCAGCTCTTGCACCCCTCAGCTGCCAGCAGTACGTGTCTGTGCACAGAATCTCCAAGAAGTTGCCCCCAGCAATTGTCCTCGCAACTCTTCCTATTTATCCTTTCTGACTAACATGTTTGCAAAAGTTTCTTGCTGCCTGAATCATATGACTTTGCTCGCGAAACACATCCTCTCTTTCATTAAGATCATCTTCTCAGCATAGAGTTTCAACCTGCTGTTTGCAACAATGAATTTTAAATATTTACTTGGCGATAAAATCGTATTTTGATCAGCAGCAGCAGTGAATATGTGCATAATCCTTTATGCATTTGTTTCAGGTTGCCGAGATAAAGGACAAGAAGTTTCACAGGGCACCCTACACAGTCCAAAGGACACAGCGGTTACGATCACTATGGAACGGACAATTCGATGCAAACAGGCAGTTTACTGTAAACAGACACAACACCCAAAAGAAAATCTCAACTGATGACTTGATTCTTAAGTGACAGAGGAAGAAACGAAGAAAACCAACAGCTAGGAAAAAAACCCCACCATAGATCACCACAAACCCGCCTTATCACTGTGCTCACAATGGAGTTCCCCTCAACACAGCTGAAGGAGCATTTTGCTTCAAGACTTGGAGAGTCTCCTCACTACATTTCTGAGGGACACCAGGTAACATCTATTCATTTCATACACACAGTTTCAGTGCAGAAGCAATTCCTACCTGCGTGTACTTCATTACATAGAGATAAACTTGATACACTAAAAAAAGGGACAGAAAAGCTACGCTGTAATCAAAGTTTGAGAGACTTCTACCAAACACTTCTCACATTACTTATAGAAATCTCAGCACCAGCTTCTCATTAAGGTAGACTCGAAGGCAACCGTTCACTAAATACCATATAGTTCAACTGCCAACAACTTACAAGGCAAGCTCCAAGTTCAACATCAGAAAAGCCTGAATTTAGCCTCCTACTTCACATGCAGACTAGGGAGTTGCTTCAGATGTTGCAACTTAAAGTCTCGGGTACCAAAGCACTTATTTCTCAACTAGAAGAATGATAAATTAAGGAGGAAGGGTAATCTTCTAAGGAAAATAAGAAAAGTGCCGAATTCAAAGTTACCTACTGAATAATTTCATACCACTAATATAACCACCTACAAAACAGGGGGGGGGAAAGATATCTACTATTTCTGCCTATTGAAACTAAAGCAGAGATTACAACAACAGTCTCACAGCTGCTGTGGTAGTGCTGACATCTGGTTTTGCTATGTCAAAGCCTTTTCAGTTCATATCTAAATGAAATACCTAAAAGTTTAACTCAAAAATATAGTATAACGTTATAATGCAAGTATTTATTAGTCAGGTAAAAGCAATTAATTTCTACCTGATCCCACCACTCTTTACAGCAAATCAAAAAGTCATGGTTTCTGAGAATAGTGAGCCTGGTCATTTTTACTCACCATTGCTCATTACTTTCTGTTTTACTTGAAGAAATCAAACTGGAAGACTGAGAGCTATCTAAAGGGCAGAAATTTCAACACACCAATGAACATCTAGATGTAGGGTTGCCACGTGGTTCTGCTCCCTTACTGGAAAGACTGGACTTAAAAATATAAAAGATGTTGTTGAGTACTGAAGTAGTTCAACAGGCAAGTTATGATGTTACAAACAGGACAAAAAAAGTTTTACAAGGGAACATATCACTAAAAACCAGCTTAAATCTACTTAAGTTTGCATGTGGAGAATATTGCAGCTTGCAGCAGAAGTCAAACATCAGTGCTCACGTCCTTTTTCCTGGAAGAAGAGAGTTTTCTGACTTTTCTCAGGCTTAGCTGGTAGGTACTAGAATATGACCATGTTAAGGACCCTTACTATAAGTTGCCATTGTTTACAATGTAGTTGACAGCTAAAAAGAGACTCTACACTGTCCTAGATAATAAAAAAAAGACAATAAAGTGTATGAGAACATGTCATTCATAAAGATCCCTTGCAAAAGCTATTTTTTTGGGTTCTCAGAAAAAAACACACAAAAGAAACAAACAACAAATAAACAGGAGTTATGCATTTATATGGTCATATCTGCCTATCCAGTACAAAGACCTATATTCAGCACCTCCTCATTTGAAGTAGAAGAAATATAAAGTTTACTTTGCAAGACCATTGCAATGATGAAGACATGACTGATCTATGTACCTGACTGGGAAGGAACAGCCTTCTGTTTCCATCTCAGAAAGTCAAAACCAATTTCAAAAAGAGGTTAGTTCTACTTTTTTCTACCTATCACCTTCACCATTTCAACAGAAATATTAAGTTAACTGAATTCCAGGTCCCAGGCATTAAAGAGGTACCTCCAAGATTATTTTTCACATTTGATTTTACAGCAAGTCAAAAGTCAAGAAGGGATATGTTTCTCTGGTACACACCCCTCCATGGCGCAGCTCCCCAGAATTTCTAAATGTTTTTATAACCCCATCGGCTTTTAGAACGTGGCCACACTAGCCATGTCCCCAGGAAACATTTCCCAGACCTGAAGACAGATATCCAAACTTGACCACTTGCAAGTCTGCATAATGAAGCGACACAAGGACTTTGAGTAATCACAAGTCAATTCCCCACCTCCTTTTTACTCCCTTCTTTCAGCAAAGGATGGAGAAACCGCCTGCTAAGAGAGAAAACTTTTGAAAACACTCCTGCTTTCGTCTCCGAGGACACTACTTCAAGCTCCACATTCACAGCAAAACAAGAAACTGCACTTCTGAACCACGAACTCATTTAAAAATAAACAGCAACTTGTCAGACAACAGCCAAAAGGAATTTAGACGCTGTTGAACCGCAATCAATATTCCTTTCTAAGATTTAAGCATGCAAGTTAACCGGAAAAAATCAATTACTACTTCAGTGTATCAAGTCAGTGGCCGGAAATAAGAACTAGAATAAAGGGCTCTAGAAAACAACTTTAACTTCCGCGACACAGCCCTGCCCTGCGCGCTTGCACCAGAAAA